TGCTGCTGTTGTAAACCATCATGCTGCTGTTGTCAACCATCATGCTGCTGTTGCCAACCGTCGTGCTGCTGTTGTCAGCCTTCTTGCTGCTGTTGTAAACCAGCCTGTTGCTGTTCACCATGTTGCTGTTGCAGTCGACGAAAGCGAAGATCTTTGGCTCTATTGAAACTCAAGCTTGCAGCTGCAGCTGTTACTGAGAAACAGTAGATGTGACTTCATTTAAACGACAGTATTTGTAAATCGAAGAACATGTTCATGAGCGAACGACCTATCACCCGCTAGCGAAAATTCATTTCCTACTTGTGCTGTTAAGCATTTAGGATTATTTATTTACTTCTCATTGATTTCTTTGTTTATACATTACTACAGAATAAATTTCAGTGCTTTATGGAAGTTTACGATCTTATTGGCACCTTAGTTTCAATAAAGCCCAGAGAAAGTGCTCATTTCTTTTTTTTTTTCAGAATCGATGAGATTTTTGACAACTCAAGAAAAAAAATTTTTTTCTTGGATAGAAGGGGGAAAAGAGCAGCAATTTTTCACTTCATATGAATATATATATATGTATATTGAACGCCAGAATAATACCACCGATGCCACATTTGTGTCACGTTTGCTTTTAATTTGCCTTAGACTGTACCAGAAAATGGAGCGAAACCGGAAGATGCAGTGCATAAAAATGTCAGCAAAAGTTGTGTATAGTTTCATCACATCCGATAATCTTCTCATTTTAGACAATTTGTGACATTCAACCGTGAGAAGTGATCAATTTATACAAAAACGAGCTCATATCATATTTCGACTTTTGACTTAATTAAAGTTTTTCTTTAAGCTAATTTGAATTGTTTTTCAACCTAAAGACTATGTTATATTCTTGCTAAATTTGGAATAATTTTTTTTTAAAAGTTCAGTCTTATGTTTTCTCACATTGTGCAGATTCTAAGCAAATTCAGTTCTGCACATATAACTGTTTATAATCAGAGTTCAGTAGAAACTCAAATAAAGATAAGGAAAAGAGGGATGAAAATATATAATGTTAATTGATGTTTTTGGATTTAGGTGATAATTTCACTGCCGGTCAAGATTGAGTAAACTGCTGTAGGTAAATAGCTAACAAGGATGAGCAAGAAATGATCGGACAATAGACAAACAGCTACACTAGTTGAACTTATTGATGAAGACAACAATTTATTTTTGTTAGTAATTAAAGGCGTTGATTACGAGTCGCGAAAGATAAATATTCATAGAAGTTCTGATAACTGGCGAAAGGTGGTGGTTACTGACAAGTCTAAATCTAATTTTAAGGAAGTTTGTTTCAGGATGACTTTATGCGAGCTGGTAAATGAGCTTCTGCTTTATACTGGCGAAAACATTTTAGACTTACAGCAATTCTTCGGGATATTTTAAGTCTTCCTTTTTTGTGCAGAAAAGAAGTTTTAATAAAAAAGCAGAAAGTTTCTCGCTGTGATTACTTTACTGGTTTTGTTACTTTTTGAAACAGTTTTTTAGCGTACCAAATTTGAGGGTAACATTATTCATATATAAACAAGTCTGACTTTCTGTCAAAAAGCTTTTACTGCCAAAGCATTATGATATTTTTTTTGAAAAAGATAGTTGCTTGATTTAAATACAGATGAGTTAAATCCTCCTCGGCAATAAAAGATATTTTATTTGGCAGCCCAAAAATAATGTTTTGTGCTTAGTATCTATGAGTGCTTCTTGAGCAACAACAAAGGAACACCATCGCAACGGTATCTACGGCTTTTAAACACCAGAAACAGTTTCTGAAGAGGATTGGTCGTTTAGAACTGCCGCGCTCATAGTCAATGTTGATGGAGGCAACTTTCTGTTGGAAACTGTTTGATGTTTTTGATATTGCCTTATAAAGCCACGGCGTGTGACTCAAAAGTTATATAGTTTACTAATTCTGTCAAAAATTTATATTAGTTATAGAAATGCAGGACGTCCAATAATATTTAAAACTTTGTCGCTTAAAGGCTACAATTCGGTCATTTGATTTTTGTTCATTTTATGAAATAATAACAGTAAAATTTTAGGTTTATTCTGACTCCTCTTTTTCATAAAAAAAGAGCTTTTTCGAAACATAAAAAGGTTGCTTTACAAAAATTAGAATTAATTTCTGGTAAATAGATGACGAAAAATGGAAGAGCTTAGGTGGAATATCACTTTTGTGAACTGTGATACACCAGAAAATTTCGAGTCTCAAATGCGCGATCAAGGTGGATGGATATCTATGCCGAGGTTTAATTGTCTTTCAAAGCTTTTTTTTCTTAAATTTAAATTCTTTTGAGTAGTTTACAGTTTGTATTATTATCAATACTTTCAGAAAAGGTGGAAAAGGTGACAATTCTATTGTATTTACTTCCACCTTGCAGGGTTATTTGTAGTTCTCCATCAAAGTTTTGAAATCTTAGAACGATTATTCTTAAAAAGGACTAATGACAAGGAGTTTTTTTGCAATTAGCAAGATTAACTTTGAGGAAAATTATTCTCTACCAGAATTTGAGTGGAATCCAACGATTTTGAACATTGTAGAGTGTGCAGCTTAACAAAGAATTGTCATTACTATAGAAAAGCAACACTGATGTTTGATTTTGAAAGTTGCGGTGATGCGGGGGGTGACTGAAGGCAACGAAAAAGAAATTTGGCAGCTTTGTAAAAACATACACATCCAAATTTTCAATTGCCCAATAATTTTAAAAAAATGAATTTTTGAGAAATAAGTTATGTTTCCAAGTTCTACAACTTTTTACAGGCCTTCTTATCCAATCCAAGTAATAATTGGCTTGCATTCTCTTGCAGTTGTCAACAAAATTATTATTGAGCCTGTTGATGAGCGTATTCGTAAGTACTTCTGACAATATTGCATCTGTTTGTTCGCAAAAAGAATTTAAAAAATAGCTTTGCTTAACTTTTCTAATCTGACCTAATGTGTAGAGATGCTTAATATTATTCTTATCTCTTAACATACAAAATTTTTTAATAACAATACCACAGAAATCGCTTATTCTTGTATTGGTTGATTTGTTTTAAATGTTTTACGACTTAGGTCTGGAAATATACTGCCATTTTACTGAATAATGTCATACTGCAAATTTTAAAGCATTGATAGAAAATTAATAGCACTCTTACTCTTTTTTTTGAGAAATCGGTACGCCAACAAAACTAAGCTTTACTGCTTCATAAACTTTAAACGTTTTTATAACGAAAAGTATTTAGAATTTTTACCGTTTCCAGCTATAATTTGAAGCCTTCTCTAAGAAGTCTTTATGACCAAATACAACTGGTTAATTAAAAAATACTAATAAAGTTATAATATCAAAAAGCTGAATTATTTTTTCTAGACATTGAAGTAAACCATTAAGCAACAAAAAAAAGCAGCAATTCTGATGATTACTGCCTAGCTACCTTCAGCTTATTTTTTTAAATTAGTTTTTTTACAATTTTTTGCTTTTAGCTAAAGCAATCGAATTTAGTGTTGGCACCAGCGAATCAAATTCTGAATATGCTCACAGTAGCTTCAAGAACGTAAGTGTTCTAACAGTAATTTAATACTGTTATAAACGGTTTCGTAACATATTCAGTATTTTCCATAAACTACACTTACTTTCAAAAATCTTTCTTTTTTAAGACCTAATCTAAATATCCGAATTACTTTTCAAAACTTTGGATTCTCTGATGAAAAAAATAGAGATTCTGAATCAATATTTCGCTTTTACAAATTTTCAGGTTAGTTTCCAGTCATGTGGAACGTTAACATTGCCAGTACGCAGTAGGGCTGAAAAGTTTGTAGAAGCAGAAACATTCTTTCTTGAAAAAATGTGTAACTGTGTACGTTTAAACATTTTGGAACCGCACGGTGTTCAGAACAATCCAAAAAACCAAGTTTGTTCTCTGCATTAATTATTTTTGATTTTGCTGGTTTAATGAGACCTTTGTAAGATGCCTCTAAATACTTCTTCAATCATCAGAACAAGTCTGAATGACAAGCAGTTTGTCCGTTTAACCTGGTCCACTATAAAATGAAAATCTACTGTTAGGTTGGGATCGCAAAAATTGCGGTACTGGGGTCGTCAGCAAACGAAGATTATAATCAATCCAGAGGAAGAGTGAATGAGCGGAGCAAACTGCAAACTGGTAATTCTGCAATGAGAGGAGGCTTTTCCTCACCAGTGGGAACTTCGAGAACGATAGATTCTAAAGATAATAACTCCTACAGGTTAGCTTTATCAATTTATGCAGCTAAAGTCAGAGGTGAAGCGGAGAGACAGAAAAAACCTCTTAAACTTTGAATCTTTTGAAAGAATTTATTTGAAAATACCATTAAAATACTTTTATATTTCTAATAAAAACAGAACTTTTAAAAAATGATAACGCCTGATAGACAATCAGGCTGTAAATGCGTTTCTCTTTTTAGTAAGTCAAAAAGTTTTTAATACAGCATTTAAGCACATGGTTCATGCGCACTTAGTTTCTTAGAGAGCACGATGGGTTTGCTTCAACCGGTGGACTTCTCGCAGAAGATCCTCTTACCTGTGTTCGTACAATTCGTAAAGTAATTAATGAGCGTTTAGAATTTGCAAGAAAAGTAAGCATCGCAGGCATATACATTCCTCTTTTACAGTTTACTTCCACAATTCAATCTCATCAATTATCTTTTTTTTTTTTTTTTGCATTTCTAGTTTAGACCGATCGCGAAGTTATGATGACAATGTGCAAACGAGCTATAGATAGGTTTGATGAGTGCGAAATGCGTCTTGTGAAAATTAAAAGTGTCATGTCTAAAGCGTTAGCATCTGGGGACCTCAAAAAAGTAAGTGTGATCAGCAAACGTCTTTGACTCATTACAACCTAAATACTTTTATGCACTAAATTCCTGTATTTACTTGGTAGGTTAAATTTATAAGATAAGTTCTATTAATAAACATTTTTTTTTCTCAGTGCAAAAACTTTTTTTCGTTATTAATTTTATTTGAAGTTCCTTCTTTGAAACTGTCAGAAAAGGTGAAGCCAACCCTATTTGTCTCTAACGTAATACTCTGATAGAAACAAAGTTTTTTTCACTAAATCACTGTTTAAATGTTGGAGCTTAGAATGTCTTCCATTCTGGAACGTATGCAGCAAAAAAAATTTGAAGATGAAACTTATTTGCTCAACTCCGCATAGTGATAGAGCAGCTATTGTTAACAAAGTGAATACAAGAAATAAATCTTGAAAAGAACTTAGAGTCGAACGAAAAGTTTACATACTAAAACTTGATCAAGAAAATTTTCGATTATAAGACCTAATTAATTAGGTAACTGCAAAGAATGTGATAATTGAAACGATGCCTAAACAATTAAACAAGTCTATTACTGCTTTAATTCCAAATTTCAGTGAAATTATTGCTGGTGAATGAAATATTAAAAATTATTTAAAAGAAGAGTTTAAGAATGAGCCAGCTTATGTTACAGACAAGGGACAGAATTGACTAGAATATTGCTATTGAACTTGTTTATGGCAATCACGGCAAAAGAACTAGCCAAAACCAAACGTAAAGCTATCAGAGGTCAATCAAAATGATTTTTTTTCTGAACTAATCGCAGACAATTTATAACACTTTCGCTTTAGTCTTTTTTACATACTACGCGATGTAATCCACCTGCTGATAACAAGGTGCTGCATCTTTTTTTCTCTTCATGTTCACATTTATGTCAGTCTCATTTCACCGCCCTGATTAACGTGTACAATGCTCTTCTTTTCAGGCACAGCTCTGCAGAATGTCAATGGCAGATTGTAGGGATACACTTTTTAGAATTACTCAAATAGACCTTTTGCTGGACTCAAAAACGGTAAGCAGCTAATATGAACTGGTACCATTTTGACAATGTTTCATCGAAAAAATGCTCCTTTATAGCCACCTGTCTAATGTCATAGCAAAAAGCCGTATTCTGTAGGCTGCATTTCATTTAATTTGTATAACTGTTCTCTAGCAGGTATTACGGCTAAGTTTTAAAGTAGATGACATTTGAAATCGTGATGTTGCATTTTCAAATTGAACAACTAAAATGATTCACTAAAAGCTCTTGAGTGCTCTAAGTAAAAGAGTATGGTGTTAAAACAAAAAGAATTGGGTTCAGGGTAAAGTGAGCTTGCAAGTGGATGCTGCACTGCATACCTCTGTCGAAAATTAGAGTAGGAGCAAAGTTAAAAGTACGTTGAAGTAATTGTTGAGCGTTTCTGCAAATTTCATGACTTAAGGTCAAATTATGATTTATCTTTTTGATTATCATTTTTCCTGCGCTAAAAAATTGAAAAATTGGCAGCGGTTCTCTGCAGTGTTGCAAAATAAACGGCCGTTGCGTAATTTCTGTGTGATACCTTGCTTCAAGTAGCAAATTTTTTGGTTGAGTTTTGCTGTTTTCGCATACATATAAAAAACAAGTAAATTTTTTTTTTGAAGAAGAGGATGTTCCAAAACATTATTTTCGTTATTGAATTTCTCTCTGAGCAAAGATATACAAAAAGATTTTTAGTTGCGTTCGGTTGGAGTAAATTCAAAATGGGCATCTTGACTGTCACTGGTCTACTGCCGTTGCACGTCAATTGCACGGAGACGTTTTAAAAGACAACGATTATTTTATAGTAGTTAAAGTGTAATTATAACTTTTTAAATAACTTTGAAAATGTGCTGTAAATACGATAAATTTTTGTGCTTTACGTAAAGTGTTCAATGTTCGGTCGAGTTTTTCAGCTGTTTGCTAATGGCAGCTCTTTGTGCTAAACTTTTATTTTTTGATTCATCATTTTATTGATGCTGAATAAAATTTATAGAGCAGTGATTTTTAGTGGAATGATGAGGTGAAATGACGGATGCTTACAGTCGGCAACGGATTTATTTGATACTGCCGGCCGGAGTTACTTGTGCCGTCTTAAGTGACACGTGTATCATCGTCATTCTTGTTTTTCATTTTTTGGTATTACTAAAATCGCAGGGTCCTCTGTTTTTGAAGAATCTTCCTCTAGAATATCGTGTTCTTCCTCCTCCGGAATAACATCGTCTGCAATTTCATCATTGACTCAGTTACCTATGTTTTTTTCTTTTTAAAATAGTTAACTGCAAATCAGTAGTTAAATAATTTGGCATCTTGTTGCAAATATACAATTATAGTGGTTTTAATCAGATAGCAATGTTTATAAAGTCATTAAAACAGCGGTGGATTGACTCAACTTAAGCGTGAGATTGGTCATATTCAATTAATAAAAAAATATCTACGAATGTGTACCTCTGAAACTAGATCTACGTTTGCCGTTCACGACGTCTGCCGATAATGTTCCGGGTATACCACATCTGTTCTCTGCCTTGGCGATTGATGACTGCATCATACTGGTTGAGGGTCCGCTTCTTAAACTGCCGCATGATCTACTTGACTGTTGTGAACTACAGGAATTTCTTCTTATTGATAGTCTTTCAGATGCTTCACTTGGCATTATGTCTGAGACGCTTTTATTCTCATCTGTGTCTGAATTGTCTCCCGAAGAGCTTTCATCAGCTTCTTTGACTGTTGCCAACCATCGGGAAATCTAAAATATCAAGCGAGCTCAACTTTCAACCAATCAATTTTGTTTTGATGATTGCTAGTCTGGCATCAAGTTTTCACCAATTACAAAAAGTGCTTGAATTTACGTAGGAAGGTTGGTGTATGAAAAATAGCTTGAAAAGATGCTGTACTGTACTAGTTCTGAGGTGAAAAGATTTGTTGAAAACCACAGTTAAAACATACATTTTCTTCAGCAAACTGTGATGGACACGAATGTTGCGTAACAAACACTTTTGGAGGCACTAGTTGTTTGGAAATGCCTGAAGATCTCCGGTTTCGGTGGTGATTTTCTACAGCAGCTTCCAGATCCGTTTCTGGGTTACCGTATGGACCTTAAAAAGTTAGCTTCTACGTGTAACAAAGATAGATAACAAAGATACATTTTTAATAACAGTTTTACCATGTTGCAAATTACTCTCAAAAGAAAAGTTTATAAACTTGGAGAAATGTTTAACTAAAATGTTTTATGACGAGCATTCTTTATATAAAGAACTCCTACGACTGAATCTTCCATTTTATTTTTCACATTTATACCTTATTTTAATTGCATTTGATTTTATTATTACTTTTTTTTGTGGGAAAATAAACAGCGGAGAGATTGAAAAACAGAGCAGTCAAAGACCTGAAAGAATGTTTGTGGAAACAGGTGTACCGCGCAAAGGCACCGCTATAGAGTTGCTTCGAAAACGTCTTACCTAAAACACCGTTCTAAAAGAAAGGTTATAATTGGTCGCTATAAAGAAAAAAAGATGAAAAAAAAAGATTTGACGGTAGTTGAAATATTTTTTTTACTTCAATCTATATCACTTTTAAGTTCTCTGCAACAACGTTCGAAGCACATTTATAAGCAAAAATTTGTCAAAGATTTTTGTTAAGGTTAGCAGAAAGACAGTATTTTGTATTGTTTTATTGTTTGCAGAACTTTACAATCTTTCTTGTTGAGTTTTTAAATACCTAGTTTTTTCTAAAACATTTTTATATACAAATTTCTAGATATTTCAATACAACTTGTAATCTAGAAAATCAAAAATATTTGAAGCTATTACAGCTAAGATTATAAGATACTTTTTTAGCAGTTTTTTGTAGTTTTTGCGTATTTATTGAAAAAATAAAATTAAAATCTATAATGCGCAGTTATTTAAGGTTACACAAGCTACAAAAATTTTTAATTTTTTATTAACCTGAGATGGTTTGAGAATATTTGCTTCACTACGTTTAACCATTATTAGTGGAGTACCGCTTGAATGTCTTCTAACACTGCAACAAATAAATAATCTTAAATTGCAGCAAGATAAAATTAATCGGAAAATGTATCCAGCATTAGATAGATACTTGACAGCTAACACTTAAAGAAACCCTTATGATAGAAACATCAATTAAATAGCATTAAATATCATCTTTTTCGTCAGGCAAGCAAGCGAATGATTTTAATAATTTAAAAGTATATTTCAACTTTTCAAAATATCAATCATAGTTCTGAATCTATAAAAGTAAAATAATTATAAAAATCAAATCTATACTTAATGTTAGCTACTGATCCGATAACATCTATTGGTTTTGTTCCTTCAAAAAGTTTTTTTGGCTTAGAAGAAGGTTTGGTTATTATTAAAGTTGGTTGCTTAGCTTCTAATCCAGTAACAATGTCCATACCGACCTAAAATTTATCTGCCTTAATTTCGTCAACTTCAAAGTTTTTTAGTAATGCAGAAGGTATATAAATTGCTTATTTTGGCAGTGAACTAAGTTTACTAAACTGAAGTTTTACAGGTTTATGACAAGACTAAGTTCTGTGTTTTCTGTCGCTATTTTTCAGTTTTTTAAAAACAAATATATATATATATATATATATATATATAAAATAAATCTTAAAAAAAACTTCAGGGAATATCACAAATTACATTTAAATTTCTTGAAAGAATAAATTTATAGTCAAAATCGTCGTCATCGTTTCCAAATGGATTGATTAAGGTTTCACCGATTTTACACCATCCAACGTAGAGGATAAACTGTATTAGTGTCAATATTTGTACATAAATATCAATCTAAAAATTAGAGGAATTTTTGTTTAAAAAGTTAGTTTCGAAATTATATTACGTTGTTTTGGGCATGTATGTTAACTCTTCCCTACTAAAGATTTAGTCAAGTAATTAAAGCTTAATTTTGTACAGTTACAGTAATTTTACAAAAAATTTCTTTCACCTACTAATACAACTGTCAAGTGCAAATTGCAAATCTTTCAACAATTTAGCATTCAATTACAAAAATCTTGCAAGCAAATGGCACTGTTCTTTTGAATAAAACAAAACATTGAAGAGATACTTTTTTTCTAGCTGTAGTTCTATTTGAAATATTATACAAAAAAAAACTAGCAAAAAATCTTTTTCAGGCTTTTTTTCGTTAAGTCTTAACGCCGGCAATTAATGCTGTAGAATCGCTATTTGCAGCTTACTATAAGCTTTTTTTTTAACCAAACAGCATTCTTCAGTTTTTTCGATGTAAAATCCTTTCTGTTAAGCAAAAATAACGTGCTTTTACAAATAATTACTCGAGCGTGGGTCGCTGTTCGAGTTGTATTCCAAAACTGTCGACTAAATATTAGGATGAGGAAATAGATTCGAATAGATAGCAAAGCAATCTGAGAATATGCCAGTGGTATTGGTACCCAATCATCTAGCCATAGTTTTATAACTTGTGAACGAAATGCAGCTATTTGCTAAACAACTAGTTTACACTGCTAAAGTATATTTAGATTTATTATATTAAAATATATTACTTTGTTCACTGTGGAGATATTACAGGAATTAAATCTTTAATTTACAAAACCTGATAGAGGTGTTGGACACCAAAATCATTTTCAATGAGCCCTTCTTTACGAGCATCTCTTACCAAAAACATGGACCATTTTATTGGCATCCAAAATTTGTTGTCGGCAAATTGATCTACTTCATTTTCATTAATATATCCTGAAAAAATGCTGTGAAAAACCTATAAATTTATATATAGGTAAGTTTCTCTGACATTTCTAAGAGACTGAAAAACTGTTATTTGGATTAACTGAGTTTTTACTGGTAACTATCTTACTGAATACAAGTTTAAGAATAAAGGCAGATAATAGATCACATTTATTTAACTGTCAACCTGCTTCAACTAAAGATTGGAATGTTGGGTACATTTTTCTGACTCCTGGACTTATTGCGCGATATACCATTATTTGATAAAGACATACTAAACGAATAATATTACGACGATAAATCTGAGCTCGAATTGGATCTCCATACCGAAGATAGGTGGCTGCACTGAATCCGACTCTGAAACAGCACGTCAGTTTTATTATTTTGAAAAATAGTTCTCAATAGTGACTGAAATGCGAACACCAAAAACTTCTTTTTTAGTAATAAGATGAAGTATATTTAAATTTTTAGGTTTAGGTTTGCACACAAATGCAATTGATGCTTAATGTCATCTGAAAAGATTTCACCCTCAAGCTTATCGTGACTTTATAACTTTTGTATAAATTTTATGCTTAAGAACTTCTACAAAATCAACAAAAAATGTATTTTCAAAATTTTTATTTTGTTGTTGACAAAAGTAAAACAGAAGAAAAGGTAGATGATTTTGAAATGCGACAAAGAGCTGTAGCTTTTAGGCCAGTGAATTGTAAGAAAGGATAGCGTGCTTTACTTAGTAACCTTTAGAACAGAAATAAAATCTGTTCGTTGAAGTAACCGAAGATGGATTCAAAAAACAAATTTTTTGTTTTTTAAATATAATTCAACAACTGTATGTTACAAAAATAGTTTAATTTTTTTTCTCTAAAATTAATTCTTGGTTTATTGAGCAATGACACTGCAACGGCAGTCTTGTACATGCATAAAATAATGAGTTTACGAGTCTATAAATCCCAAACTGATCCAGAAGGATGCCCATCGAGAGATGACTAGTGCAATGTAATATCCCAGAATAAATTCAAATGGTATTAGATCGACATTAAGATGGCAGAAAATGCAGACTGCTTCAAAAAACCTAAAAATACTGTCGACGTTTACCATATTGTACAAAGAGCGAGTGTCAGAAAAACAAAGTAATAAATTTTATTACCAGAAACAACTAACTTTTCTAGTTTTATGCATTAAAAAACTGTTTCCAAAGGTTTTTTCTATTAGCAACTTAACATTCTCTTTCTAACTAGAGTCTTAAGTGAACAAATATTTTTTTGGTTTTTTTTTGATTATTATTTTCTTTTGTACAACAACGGTTTTTATCAGCTGAATGAAAATCTGAAATTGTAGAAACTAAAAAATTTTGATTTTTGTGTTAATCAATAAACAATTAAAATACTGAAGTGATTCGGTTAAGTCAACAAATGCAGCAGCAACACTAACCTTTGCTGTTCTTCGGTAAGCACAAATCGATAAACCAGCGTAAATAAAACGAAGAAAAACGACCAGATAAGCATTTCTAAGTGAATCAATTTCCAAACACTGCCTTTCCATATCAGCAGTGTTCGGATAAATCCAAAATTAGACGATTTAGCTACAAGAGCTGAATACATCACAGTCATTGTGACAGCTGCAGATTCGGGTATGAAATTTAACAGTCACCGACTATAAAACCTATTTTCCACTGTATCAGTTGATTATTGCTTTTAGCTTTATTAAAAATAGCTCTTGTTCTTCCAAAATCTCTTTAACTTCGGTGTATATATGCGATTGGGAAAAAAATAATTTAACTAAAAAATGATGAAATTCTTCTTGATAGAAACCATCTTTTACATTGCTTTGAAACCAAACATTTTTATTTTGTATGACTAATTTATAAACCAGATCATTTCAGCTGAACAACAGCTCTTTTAACGTTCAAAAAAAGCAAAAATTGTTCCTCTAATTTTTAGCAACAATAAGCAACAATGACTGATGAAGATGTTTTTTTTACATCTACATCAGTTATTGTTGCTTATTGCAAATTGACTTACCTTTCTTTTAAACGCAGGTAATCTGTAGGAAAATTATACAAGTAAATTGTGCAGGTAATTTAGAAGGCATTACACAGGATAAGAGCATAACCGAAACATGTTTAAGAAATTGCCTTTACATGCTACAAATACAATGTAAACGAATATTATAGATTGTATTATAGATTGCTGTCACTGTTATTAGTAACTGCAATAAATTTTTTACAGGAAAATGCTTAAATCAATTGTGTTTGCATGTTTACTCAAGCAGAATGACGTAAGTTTTATTCTTCGTTACTGCAAGATATACAAAAAATGGCATCGAAATTATAGTTAGCTGCTCAGCGTCAGAAATTCGACATATAATATCAAAATTTTGGTCACTTATATCTGGCAATATTACCCTATCAATAACTTATCAATTTTTAAACAAGCGAAAAAAAAGTCTATCAAAAAAATCAGCCAAAATATTGTAACATTGCAGCATATTCGCTATAAGGCAAGTTGAAGTATTACTGCGCCCCCAATTCGCTAAAATTATACTAAAAATTTTTAAGTCACGATAAAATTCCTCTTTTTTGTTAAATAAATCCATTTCTGCACACCGCTATTAAATTTTGACTCTTGTCGTCTGATTTTGTCACTAAAAGACTAGTATTTTTTTTCTCAATTATATTTAAAACATCTCAGAGTTAGAACCTTAGATTTAACACTACATCTAACCGTGTACGGTGAGATTTCTTAATTTTACTATTGAAATGCGCCATCTTAAACTGCAAAAATCACTCAGCATTTGACCGTAGACCTCTTGCGCTGTAGCAGTTGTTGAGTGACTTTTCTTCAGTCACTGAACATTTCTGCAATTTCTAATACTGCCCTACACAGCTACAAAAAATGAAGGTAAAGACTGCTTGAAGCTGTCTACAAGTTGCTATGCTAAACTCAGCTTATGATCAGCGGAAAGTATCTTAACTAAAGTCTAGGACTGTCTTACAGCAAGAAGCGTATAAAACTACAAAAACTTCAAAACTTATCATCAAAAAATCTTTTTCCGTATCTCAAACAGAGTTGCGTTACGAGAGAAAGCAAATCATGATAAGCATTAAAAAATATTTCCTCAGATAATTTTTCATAAAAAACTAGAAATCTAGCTCTATGTACAGAACTGACTAACTGACGACTGTTTTCATGATTAGAGTCTGAAACTGTTATTTTTGGTTGAAAGAACTGTATTTAAAGCGCCAAAGCTTGTTTCTCGTTCTGGACTATCGCATTAGCCATAAGGCTAAGACCCCAATGAAAAAACATGCAAAACTTTACAAGTGGCAAAGTATAAGATGACAAACTAATTCAAGTAATAAAACACTCAGGTAAGAAACTTTTCCGGCCAGCACATTTATGATAACAAATGCATAATGCCCAATATTTGTTTCGCTTCTAGAAGCTGTCTTTCTCTTCATCTGTTCTCCTGAGTTCTTCGTCAACTTTTTGCGCTTTTATTACAAGGTCACAGGAAATTGTTATGTATATGATTGCTGCGGTTAATGCCGAGAACAAATGAATTAGGTCTGAAAAATCATTGTTTTAAATGTAATTTTTGCAAGAAAAATTATTTTTTAGATTGCAAAGTGTAATACTAACATGATATCCGGCATGTTTTATTCATCTCATTATACCACTCTTTCCATGCTGATTTCAACAAATTGTCGACTGTTTCAACCTAAGAATTTTTAATATTGAACTAACCTGCAAATGTATTCAAATCTTTCTAAAGCCACCTAGTTTTGTGAAATTTCTATTTCGACCTATTTACTTCTATATCTTTGTCAAAAATGCCTACGCCTCTTAAAGCTTGAACCAAAAAACATTAACGCTATAATTAATTAACAATATACAAGTTTCAACCTAAAAGTGTTTAATACATATATGTGAAACGAACCGTAACAGAGATGTCTCGCAACTTTTCTTTTCTCGCACTGACGTTTGAAAATTTTTGAGTATGAGCGGCGAATTTATTGACCAATTGTGGATTTTTACACGTGAAACCATTCCATTTGAAATCACAGTTTGCTCTCATGACACCACCTGCGAAGATTAACTCTTAATTAAACGCTTTGCGTACAGCATTTTTTCTTAAAAAACGAGTAAAGGTTAATGAACTTCTTTGTTTGCTCAAAGATTCAAACTATTTGTGCCGATCTCGCAGGTGACGGCTAATGGTCGATTAAAGCCTAACGTACATTGCTGATGCAGATACTAACGTTTTGCTAACTTTTTCCATTATTCTAATAAAATTAAAAATAAATCTTTTTCATCAAGTTTGCTTTGGTAAATCTTGAGCGACACTGCACTTTTAAATTGTGAATTTTTTTTTCAACAAGTGCACACTGCTGCCCATACCTTTCAAAAAGGGTTTCTTGGCGACGAACGCTAAACATGCACCACCAGTGTCTTGCCAGTTGGACGTTTCATAGCTTTTGTGGATTATGTATTGGCTGGGAGTCCCATCGGTAGAAACCATGTAGCTATCATCATCAAACTTGCCCCACGGAAACGGGTGACCCAGAGGTCTCATATTTGCCAAAGGATTTTTTTCGCTAACTTCAACTAGTGAGTTTTTCTCCGAAAATAAATAATCTGAATTGCTAGAGTTAAGTCGTTTACTAAATCATACTGATGTTTGTCATCAAATTACAATCTTCTAATCGTCTTGTTTTATTAGTCATCATCAAATCAACGTTATTTCTTCAAAATGACCTCTCTGCGCTTAAGCATTTTGCAGCATTTCAATTTCTTTTTGCTTACCTGACGCAAAAAATTGAGCAGATATAAAGTAAACTAAAAATTTTAAATGCTGTTATATCTTACCACTTATCAGAGACTCCTCTGCTTCATCACGAATACTTAATAAATGTCCACCAAATACCATATAACAGAAGCTGTCTGCCGCGCTGAACGAGTCAACAACGTAACGAATTTTTGCCGGCAGCTAATTGATAAAGAGATTAGATAGAAGTTTATAGGTAAAAAATCTGAGTAGTAACAGAGTTTTTTAAATCAAATTGTACTCTTTTTAAGAATTGATTCTACCTCATTTACTATTCGACTTTTCATTCGGTTGAAAAACGAAAGAGAATTATAATATTCGAAAAGCACATAGTTTCTACCTTTTGCATTCTTTTTCTGTTAACACATACTATCAGTTTCCTTTATTACCACTTTTGTTTCCAAATTACTGATAACGTTGAGTGAAATTATCTCTAAGTCATATTTCCTGCCAATAGTTGACAAATTCGTCCTCGACTATTTGGCAGTTATACATTCGCTATCTAGCCGATCAAAGTACAAGATTTCACTCATATGTTCCGTCCGATAAAGTGTCATTCTCTTCAGCAAATTTTTAGCCAGATTTTGCTTCAGAGTTTCAGAACAAAGATAGACTTTTTGTGTTTTGGAACACTCATATGTATACGTATTAGATAACTTCAGAATTGCGTTTATCACAAAAAACGTAAATTATTTGACGAAACAAAGTGGCTTTTGAAAATTTCAATTTAGTCAAACTTACTATAAAGTCGTGGATGCAGTAAAGCCCTATCGCATTTCTGACTGTTTTATTTTCTTGGTCGTTTTCAGAAATATAAATTTCTTTTTTTACTGCTACCGCAATTGGTTTTCGGAGATAAATGAGCTCAGGAACTTCTTCGCAGAGTCCAATTTCTTCTAAAAATTGTTGGAAAAAATATAGTTTTGTAAAGTTTTTGATTTGATTGTCACCAATTATTTATATCAAAAAAAATTTTAAATAATTTTTTTATCTTTTGATAGCTGTAGAACTGAAAAAAAAATGCTTGTTGTGTTTTAGAGAAAGTAATAATGCTCGCGGACTATCGAACACCATTTTGAACGGTGATTCATTTCCTTACTTGTCGCAGCTCTTCACAGTGGCATTTTCTTCTCACACATTTTAGACTCGAAAAACCAAAAAAGACTTTCATCATTCGTCAATAAAAATTGAGCACTACAGATGTCGCTGTTTATTGAAATTAGATTTCAATAATTAACTTAATTCAGATAAACATCATTATTTGTAGATAAAAAATTTTAATAAATATAGTAATGATTAGCGGTTATGCTATACTCCGGAAAAAGTTTAGATTTCCTAAATTAGCTCGATCTAAAAAGTACTTAACAAAATGAATAAATGTAATAAAATTTTTGCAAAGACAGAATAAAAGTAAGCAGGTTTAAAGAAAGATTAGCCTAAAGTTTTACCGTATTTGAACGAATCGTAACCATCGTAAACTGTCTGAAAAAACTAAGAATAATACAAAACAAAATTGCTCTTTGCACCTCAGTTACCATTCTATTTCTTTTTTTTTTTTATAATCAAAAGAACTAAACTACAGATACCTTATCATTTTTGATGGTGAATGAGATTTTAAGCATTCTTAGCGATATACAGAACAGTTTTGCAGAAAAAAAAGAACTATGCTTGTATTTATTTAAGTTATTTAGTTTGCCGTTTCCAGTCAGAGCGTTACCAGATTGTTTTGGCGTTCCGGAAAAGGTATTAGATATGGAGACTCACGAATACAAGAAAAATTAGTAGCATATATTTCCACTCTTCTTTAGCGTACACTGCTTTATTAAAAATTTTTTCAGAATAAAGAGGCATCTGTTGCTGTACTGTGATGAACTGGTAATGTCAATAATCAACTTTTCTGTAAGTGGAAATGCAGTGAAAACAACGAACTTGTAAATTTGTCATAAGTCTTGCTTCATTTACTCGTGAAAGAATTTCTTGAACACATAATATTGTGCTTTCATTACGACATTCAGTCTCAATAATTCTATCTGAAGTTTACAGCAGTTTTATTGTCGAAAAGAATTCTTCTGCATCGTAAACTAATTACCAGCTTCTGCATTAGTTAATCTATCTGCTTTGTTTTATACAGAGACTATTTTTGTTATTTCTTTACGTGTGTTAACTTATTGACAAGACAGCAGAAGTAAAAAAACAATTTAAAAAAACAAAGTATTTTTTTATATACTATCTATTAATTATCTGTTTTGTATTGCCAACTTTCAACATTTTATTGTTTATATTATAATGCATACTTACCGGACATGCCGTCATGGTGCACATAATAACATGGATTATCAATTTTGTATTTTCTGAATGATGACAAATAAGTGGGATCTGTACCATCGTAGAAGAAAGTTGACAGCGGATCTGATTCTGCACCCAAAAGGATATTATATTGTAGAGGAATTCCTACTAATTGTTGGGAGTCAGAAATAATCTCTGCAAGTGATTAGAAAATTACGCTTATGCTTTCAGGAAGAAAATACTGTCATTTATTAAAGAAAACATGCTGTAAAAAGTTATTCTAAAAAAGCATATGAGATGCACACAACTTTCGCCATGTTAGCATTATCTTTGTTGCTTTCTGTACATTTTGATTTCGTTAACTTGATGCACCGCAAAAGTTTATGTTATAGCCAGATTTCAAGCACCTTGTTTATTTCCTTTTTGTTTTGTAGCTTTGGAAAAATTACTTTTGAGTTTCAAGCTTTTATGATAAAAACTTGGTTTAAAAAAGCGTATTCAAAGAGTTTAAATAGAACATTGAGACTACTTCTATTTTAAATCGCGATTTCAAAGAAATGCTGCTTTGTTTATTTATTTTTTATCGGTTTTATTAACAATATGATTAGGAATTTTAGATTCATTAAGAAGGGATTCAAAAAGTAGTTTGCTATATTGTTTAAAAAAGAAGTCTTTGAAAAATATTTTCTTAAATAATCTTTCTAAATAAATTTTACATCTTGTATGTACCACCTAATTCCATCTTTAGAAGCTCAGCAATTTTTTATTGACCATGTAAATCCAATAAATTTAAGAGTCGATCACTGAGCTAGTCTGAGACTATTTCTAGCAAAGAAACTTTTCACAAGCTATTTTACGTCATTTGAATAGAGATTGCTGCTAACCAAGCAACATTTTAAAGTGCAAATTACCATTGAGTGTCATTAAGGAAACTATTCTCTTTGCACTTCCAATATTCTGTAATAAAATACTGCTAAGTTAACGTAATTGAAGATATGCATATACAAAAAACTAACTGTTAATGAACAATAAATTTGCATTGTTTCGTAAAGAGGGCAAATGACCACCAAATTTTTTTACACAGATATCTTCACTAATTGCTCGAGAGCAGAACATTTCATCGCTAATCAGTCGGCATTGTTTGGGTCTGTCGTATAGAGGTAATGCAATTAACTAAATTTGTTTAATGGTGATCAGAGAAAAATCAGAATTATATTTCTGTGTTTATTCAATTTTATACAAGTAATCTAAGTGTTAACAGAAAATACAGTTAAACAGAGTTTATCTTATTGTTGCTGAACTGAACACTAGTAAAAAAAGTGTTTTCATTGGCAATAATATAAAACTGATACAGATCTGTTACTCTGTGAAGTAATGCTGTACTAATAAAAAAAAATACAGAAAAAAAGATCAATTTATCGTTACTTTAAATTTAATTTCAACCAAATAAACATTCAGTTACCTACATCAAAATAATAAAAGCAAAATGTTTTTTCTTCATACTTAACAACCATCGGTTCCATTTTAAAGTCCATTTCGGGATAATGATAACAGGTGTCGAGAATGACTAAATTTTTGTATCAGTTTCACTTAATTGTTAAATAGAAAATCGTTCACATTTCTGTTTTTTTTTCTATAATATTTTAAAATGGTTTCCAGCCGTTACTTCTGAACAATTTTTTAGTATAGTAACGTCAACTGCTACGCCATAAATTACTAATAGAACGGTTTTTGAAATTTGTATAGTATACGATGCTTAAAGTTCTAAACCAGAATAATATAGCTTCTTTTTCTTGACATAAAAACATAACAAAAAGAGATACAAATGTAAATTTCAAAATGTTGCAGTGTATATAAGCCACTGACCTTTCTTTTCTATCTTAAACAGTAGTCTTTTAAACTGTTGTGAAATTCTTATTAGCAAAATATAACTGCACAAAAAATTTTTTGTTGCTAAAAACCTAGAAATAACTAAAGTTTAAAAGTTGGTTTAATTTGGCATACCGTACTTCAACAATTCTGCCTAAAATTGTGCCACTGTTAGTCGTTGCTTAAAGATTTAAAAACTGATATTTTACATAGTTTATAATATTTTGCATACTTAAAATACGAGTTTTATACATTTAAAGATCAGAATTTTTTGACTTACATAATCATCAGCAACGTTCTGTTTACAGAGTAAGTAGTTAACAGTAACAGAACAGGATTTTTCCATTATTATTGCTAAAATTGAACTTAATAAATGCAGCTAAACATTTGGAACAACTTGATAACCGCTGCAAGTTGAACTTGAACATAGACGTAATTGTCATGATTGTTTTCTATATATACATATAAATTTTTTTTTGAAACCACTTCTTACAATAATTTAAATTAAAAATAAATGTGACAGAATTACCTTTTTTTTTATAATGTTCCGATATCTTTGGAACAACCAGATAATAACACCCGGTTGACTCTTTTGCTGGTTGTAAAATTTTAAAAGAGTATGTTGTACTAGTGCCGTCCGAATACTCTGTACTATTTTCTCCAAATCCCAAAGGAAACGGTGACATAAAATCGTCGTCGCTATCATTATCTTTTTGCGGAACTAAAAAGTGTGAATAAATGAAGAAAAACTAAATGAGGTGCTTATAAATACATCTTTGTAATTTTGAAATACAAACTATTAAATTGCTTTTTTTTTTT